TGACATCTCAATACTATCACTACCGCTAAGATATCAGACTCTTTGCTCCTATGAGCTCATCCCTATCGTATATTTCGGGGGATGCACGTTTGATAGCAAGCGTCTTGAGCAGTTTTTTTTTCTAATGGGCCTTCTTTCAAGCGATGCAATACGGTGAGTTATGGTCGGTGTGGCTTCTTCTTCATGCAACAGGGTGCGATGCGGTGAAAGTCCACTCTTCGAATGAGAAGAACGATTCCGCAGCCCTCCCACATGTTCTTCCATCCGAGTATAAAGTGGCCACATAGTTTCACCAGCATAATTCTGACCTCACACTTCACATGTGACCAAGTGAAGTGCTCTGGTGATTGGCAGTTTTAATTTTCTGCACAACACGTGCGTCACTTCGGCCACATTTCTCTTCATACAACCGCGCCGACTTCGGCAAACGTTTCAAATTCGCAGATGGTCGAAAAATCAGCTGTACTGGGAGACGGGCGACTTGACTATATGGTTTATTTTCTTTAAAGTGCATTCGTTGACGTACGGTATAACCAGAGGCATTCCTCCGACAGCAGAGAAAGGACCCTATCTTGGGTTACGTGTCGCGTGGCCATTGTCTTCCAAAATTTTCACTATTTTCTGATCCACCTTTTCTGATTCCACAATGAAGGTCCTCGACTTCGTGGTGGTAATGTCTTTCATCACATTTGCTTTCATGTTCAAAGAAAGTGTATTTCGAGAATGCAGAAGGATGTTCTTGCTCGCTGGTTTCATAAACCTTACGAGTACTTTCTTGCCACGGTCTATTCGAACCTTTGTATACAAAAGCGGAAGAAAGTCGCTACCGTTCGGATACCCCGGCAAAAGGTATGTTTGGATCACATTAGTTCAAGTTCTGAAGCATCGTATTCTTCGCTCAGAGCTCGCGAGGTAGAGCCAATGACGAAAACATCGTCTGTACCGCTTGTAGAATATACTTCTGGAGACCAAGGATCTTCTTTCAGTGCAGTCCGAATAGACGATAACCAATAGCGGTGTATACTCGGTCCCACGGCCAAGCCTCTTTCCTGTGAGTAGAATAGTATCCGTATATAGTAGCCGTTGAATTAGAGGGTTTTGCACTTCAATATGACTATAGGAGCCGTCGCAAATCTTCCTCCATCAACCAAAGGGTATGCACTTCTTGTTGGTGTTCTCTTAGCAGTTAAATCACAAAGTTCACAACTTCCTAGCCACATTCGTGAATAGCAAAACCTCGTCAAGGTTGCGTAACATGCATCACTGGGTACTTCACAGTGATCTGTTGGAGGAATACCACTGGTTTTACCGTACGTCAAAGGACGCACAGCAAAGAGAGAGATGTAACTGCACGTATTGCGCAGAAAATAAATTCTGCCAATTACGGGGACCGATTTACTTGGTCACATTTGAAGGATGTGGTCAAAATATGTTGGTGAAACTATGCGGCCACTTTATAAACGGATGGACGAACATGTGCGAGTGCGCTGCGGAGTCCTTCTTCTTACTCAAACAGTGGGTTTGCATCGCACCCTGTTGCATGAAAAAGAAGCCCCACTCTCCCCAAAGGTCACCGCTCGAAGGAAGGTCTATTGGAAAAATGGAAAAAAAAACTGCTCGAGGCGCTTGCTACCAAGCGAGTTTAGGCAGTGCGGTTAGGGTAAGTGTCCGTTTATTGTGTTGCGCCTTGGTAGTAGTTGATTGCATACATTATTGCAGAACTTTGTCAGTTGACCTGGCCAACCTGGTTAGTTAGTTGTTTAACTCAGCCTTTGGTAAATTTTGTAATGCAAGTATGCCTGAAATATTGCATTTTAAGTTCTTCTGAAAGAAAGAGCGAAAGCTTACCGATGAAGGTTACTGAACGAGCCCTCAATTATGAAAAGAAGGGAATCGTACAACAAAGAGGCTTAGGGATAGGTCGATATTATCCTACGGGATTGTGATGAAGGGTTTTTGGTGCTTTGAACATTTTTTTCGAGCACTCTAGAACTTTTGGCAGGGAATCAGCACAGTCCTTCCTAACAACTAGAAACCAAAGATCTTACACACCTTTGAAAAAAGCATCAAAGTTTCTGGAACACCGAAAAAAAAATTAAAATGCTTGATAAGAGACGCAAAAGCGCGCGCGGAAGAACATGCCTCATAATATCCACTCTAGCGAGCATGGAAATTGAGCTGAAGGGGGGGGGGGGGAAGAATGGCCCCGGTAGCGTAATGGGAACACAACCGCACGGAAAGCGAGGTACGCGGTCTCGAGTCCGTCCGTGGTGTAACTTCTGCCCATAACTCAGCACTGCTGCGATAACTTTTTGATCGCACATGAGGTGCCAAACAGCAGTTATTAAAATAAGACTCTTTAAAACGTGTGAAAGCTTCCAGATCGTGGCTCACTGCCGATACCGGCTAAACGGCTCATCGCGTCAAAAGTGTGACTGCTGGAAGGCGATGACGCAAACAGCCATCAAAAACTGGCTTTCTTGAAGATTAGGCTGTTCGAGTTCAGGACGAGTCTGTCGACGACGAATTTCGTGCAGCAATGTCTTTCCTGCATGCGGCATCATGCTAACGAAGAAAACTCCGAATTAGTTCCTTGCACAGCTGTCGCGTTGTAGTTGTGTTCTTTTGAAAATAAAGCAGATCCGAATGAAATCACTTTCAACTTTCAGTAAGACCTGACTGATTTGTGGCAATGCTTGTGGTGCACTCTGTTGTTGTTGAAACAATTTTATTTAGTAATCTCTGCTTTCCAAGGTTGCGTCATTGTCTCTCACGACTGTCTCAACACCACCAAACATCCAAAAAGAAAACACCACCAACATCTCAACTTGGAAGTACTGTGAGTACTTTGCATGGGTTCCGTTCGATAATCCTATATTTCGAATACACCGTACTATGGCTTAGCGAAGAGCATTGCACACTCAAGCTTTTCCTAAGCACCTGCGCTTTAACTGATAGGGAGTGAGGAGCTTATGCCGCCATTACTTCTATCCCGATGGTGGACCCCGTCTTTGGATTAGGAGCTGATTATGGCCAGTCTAGGGGAAGAATAATCAAATCAAGCGGAGGCATTCTTCCCCTGGTTGTTAACAGGCAGCTCTACAGATAATAAACATGCCAAACTGGACCTCTGAAATTTCATGACCATTGCTATAAAAAATTATTTTTGCAGGCACCTTCTCTTGACGCCATTCGCCCTTCCAATACTCGGGTAGGTTTGAGAGCAGCAAAGCAGCAATGAGCTATTGAAACGGAATTAACGATTATGCTGATTAAGGTTGAGTGGATACCCGTTGATGAAGTCAAACAGCAGGTTAGTAGAATGGAACACATGACTCGCGATTAATGTACTGCTTAACTGCAGAAAGAATCTATAAGATTTAAATTGCTATGGAAGCCCGAAGTCTTGTAGAATAAGTGAAGCATCACTTTCCCTGTGCACTTAGCAAGGGGAAGCGGCATAAGAAGGGCACTCCTGCTTCGGTACCCGTGAATAATTTTCACCGGGAATGCTGGAGTACATGGATCCAGATACCCCTGAAACTGGTGTCGATTTCTGTATCTTCCGAAGCGGTTAAACCTCCGATGAGTCCGGAATTTCAAGGTGTCAAGTCAACAATAGTAAAGTAAGACAGAGCTAGAGCCACGCTGTCACAAACGTTGAACAGCTGGCGTTAGCAAAACTCTTCAGGACTTTGAGAGCCTGCACGCAGGTGACCCAACCCTGGAAATCCTGCAGCAAATTCAAATGCACATTTTGCGCAGTTGCTCACCTTTGAGAGAAACGCAGTAACATTACTGTCTTGTAAATTATTTTCTAGAATGTCGAGGAAGTCCTATACAGTGCTATAGAGGTGGCGCAATTATAAGACCTTAGATTGATGTTGCCATTTGTTTCACAGTCCTTGCTAACACTTATCCCCCTCCCCCGGTGACTCCATGACTTTCTACATAACTTTAACGAGCTACTTTGTCAGTAAGGTAAGCCAGCAAACCCGGTACACTGCCGGTGACATTCGTATATCACTGTAACCAGGTCCAGAAGATTCTATGTGAATGGGAAACATAGCGTGTGCAGTTACAGTCTCAATCAGGCATCATTACAGCTATTCAATATCCCACCCGGAGTGAATTTCATGCCGGTTCTTGTTGCTGCAGATCAGGAAAGATCAATTAGAGAGGGAGAGGTAGGTTTTGGTGCGATTTCTTCAGCTCATAGGGTAGGCTCATTAGCATTCATAGCGAGAAACTTGCAACACTGTCGCTGTGTAGTGAGTACACAGCATTTGAGGGCACGCCCCGCAATATAAAATGGTGGGGGTGGGCTTAGGATACGATTGACAAAGTAATAAAGTTAAGGTAGGGGGCGGGTAAATTGCCGAAAACGCCCCAGATGAGGTCCCTCCCCATTTGAATTTGTACGAGCATGTGGCGAAGAGAGGACTGAAAGCGCCCTCACTTGTTGATGCGATGACAATCTCAGTTCTTTTCCTTCATAAAGCTACCCTTACCATTCAAAATGGAAGGAATTTGTAGTCGAAAAGTCGTACCACTAGGTAGGCTGGAGCCGAGCTTGTGGTGTAAGGCTAATCCGCCTATTTCTCTTCCGCCGCAACTCGGAAGTGACGTTCTACACCACCTCACAGATGTCTATTGACCTTATCACGCATTTTCGAGCCACAGGAGTAAGGCATCTTGTCTGCAGCCCGGACCATCTTATCCAGTGAAGGCGTCTGACACCAGCTGATTGCGACATGTGCTTTTAACTGGAGACGATACAGTCTAATAGAGAATTCTACATGAGGTCTCCTCAGGAGGGCCATGTGATAGAAAGGAATTGTGCTACTTGGCTAACTCATAACAAACAAACTGGGACGAGTTAACTTACTTTTGGCGCGCATTTCGGCTGATGTGCGCGCAACATAGGCAGCGTTCAGACTTCGCGACGTGTTCGGTCGCGCGTTGGACGCGACCGATGCTTTCAACTGCATCGATCGCGTCGAACGCGCAAGCGAAGCGCTACCGTCGTGCAGCCTGAACGCTGCCATAGACCAGTGAGACCGCAGAACGGATACGGTAAATGCGATGGATGGCTCCAGATATTCTCGCACCTAGAAGTGATCAATGAAATGTGGAAAATTCTCTAGAAGTCGATTTTTTCGCTATGTGTAGCAGTGTTTGGACCTTCATGTTCGCGCCTCATACCACTCCGACATATAGCACAGAAAAAGTATTTCAGAGACTTAACCATATTTCAAGCATCCATTAATCAATGCTGGTTGCGAAAATCACGTACACCTTGAGATAAAGCTATGAGTGACCGCTAAACATTCATGTAAAACGTCTGCGCTTACTCAGGCGCAACATAGGGAGTACCGTGTACTCCTATGAGTCCCAGGTGTAGCAGGACTTTCTTCTCCGCCTGATATTATTCACTTTCTTCCTGGATGATTGAGTGATCAAGTTAAA